CCAGCAACTCCCCTGCCTGCCAGGCGGCTCTTGTCCGCGACGGGGGGCTCAGCCTGCTCTACCGCTGCGTGCCCACCTGCCCCCTGCCCGTCCTGCGCTGGCTCTTCCAGGTGAGACCTTGGCACCAGGGGTGTGCCCTCCTCCCGCCGTGACACCCGGGTCACCCCTTTTCTTTCTTTCTTGATTTCTTTCTTGATTTCTTGATTTCTTTCTTTCTTGATTTCTTTCTTTCTTGCTTTCTTGCTTTCTTTCTTTCTTGATTTTTTCTTTCTTCCTTTCTTTCTTTCTTGATTTTTTATTTCTTTTTTGATTACTTTCTTTCTTTCTTGATTTCTTTTTATCTTTCTTTCTTTCCTTCTTTCTTGATTTCTTTCTTTCTTTTTTCTTGATTTCTTTCTTTCTTGATTTTTTCTTTCTTTCTTTCTTGATTTCTTTCTTTCTTCCTTTCTTTCTTGTTTTCTTTATTTTTTTCTTGATTTCTTTCTTTCTTTCTTGATTTCTTTCTTTCTTGATTTTTTTATTTCTTTCTTGATTTTTTTATTTCTTTCTTGATTTCTTTCTTTCTTTCTTTTCCTTTCTTTCTTGACCTTTCTTTCCTTCTTTCCTTCTTTCTCCCCTCACCGTCCCCCCTCGCCCCCAGGGGAGCCCTGGTGCCCCACGGTGCGGGAGATCAGCGGGGCTTTCACCCGTCTGGGCGCCGACCTCAGCCCCCTGCGCCGCCAGCGCCTGCTGCCCCCCGAGTTCTGCCCCACGGATGGGAGGTGAGCCCCGGCGTGGGGGGCAGGAGGGTGCTGCCCACCCCCAGCCCCACTGCCAACCCCACTGCCCTCTCCTTCCAGGAGCCTGGATCCATCCTTCTCCCCGATGGCCACCCCCGATGCCACCAACACGCTGACCCTGGTGACACAGCTCGGTAACATCTGCAAGGTGAGTGCCCACCACTTGCTCCAGCACCTTCATTAACTCTGCCCTGCTAATTAGATGGGTGGCACTGATGCCAGCTCCTGGAGGGGTGCCCACTGGGGCTGCCACCCTCCGTGCCACCCTGTCCCTGCCCCACGGCGGGGGTTTTTTTGGGGGGTTCCTGGGGGGCCTCCCCCTTTCCCCCTGCAGTTCC